GGTTTCCTTCGAGCATTGAAGACATGTTCCACCAAATCAGCATGAAGGTTATATTATCTAACCCGGTTGTACACTTACGTTATGTTCGCCATGTACGCCTCCGAACCAATACCAACTCCTTCAACAGTTGGTAAATTCTCATTCTCGTTGTAGCGGCAAATCGCCCTCCCCTCATCTTTTAAAATCATATTATGCAATATGATACATGTTGTTAATGTATCCCTCCATGAATACGTCAAAGATAACAGAGTGGTTATCTAAAGAACGACATAGCTAACGGTCGTTGCCCAGCATAAGTGTTAGGCCCGGGCCCACGCCCTCACGGCCTCGCGCTTAGACCCCAGCGCTCTAGCGCCAAGGTCCAACTCAGTATAAGAGGCTTTGGTCTATAACAAGTCAAAACAGTACCAATCGCTCCCCAGAAGCGATATTGATGAAATCAATTTTGATGGTGATGAACCACTTTTTTCAAGTTTCCTTAAAAGTAGTTCATGTAAAAAGAAGTCTGAGAATTTTGCCAACAATCGTTCAACCAATAGTAGAACTTCAATCTATGAAGAAAAAGTAAATGCTTTATTGGGTGTCATATCAACAAAAAGCACACAAACTTTTCCACAAACTAATCTCTCTACAACAATAGCAGATTGCATGACCGTTGTCATCAAGTTTCCTGCCTTCAATGATGCAACGTCTGGAAATTATAAGGTACTATTTTATATATTTACATAAGGTTAATAGTTTTAAAATGATTTAGGCTTAGACCTTTGGGACCTTGTAAGTAGGCTGAGAAAAGACCGTACGCCGAGCGTACCTTTCCATGTACGCTCAACGTACTTAAGAGACTGGAACACATAAGCCATGCATATATGCCCAGCGTACCAGGAGTATGCGCAGCGTACGTATGCAGATTCTAAAACCCTAAAATTTAGGGTTTGATCCCTATATAAAGAACCTTATGCCTTTGGTTCAACCTCTCTCTCACCCTTAGACATCAACCACAAAAAACCTAGAGTATTTTAGTGTTTCTTTAATGTTTGAAGGAGAAAGAAGTTTGAAGAAGGAGCAAGGATTCAAAAGGAACTTGTAGATCTAGGAGATTAGCACCATTTTCTGACTCACTTGAGGTATCAAGCTTCAAACTTGATCATTGCATGTTTAGATTTGATTTTTGGGTGTTTTATGTCACTTTTGGACTCCATTGTTGAGGATGCTTGAGTCTTGATAGTTCCAAAACATAAGAGTTGTCCTTTTGGGCTCTTAGAAGCACCTAGAGTAATAAAAATCAGACCTTGATGGTTAAGCCTCAACCATGCAAGTGTTTGAAGGTCACAAAGTTGGGTTAAGGACCAAAAATCATGTTTTGATCCAACCATGCATGCAAGCACATAAAGTTTGTGACTTTATAGACTAGGAAGCCTCAAAGGACCTGGATCTACATTCTGGATGTAAGGACTAAATGGATTAAGTCACAAATGAAGCCCCAAGGAAGCTGGCTAGTACATCGAGCGTACATCTCAGTACGCACCGCGTACTAGGTCAACTTCTCGTTATAGTCATGGCCAACATACACTGGGCGTACGTGTCAGGTATGCCGCGTGTACGCATGCAGAGTAGAGGACTTGGGCTTTTGGGTCTGGATAGTTGGGCCTCATGGCCCACTGTGGGGCAAAGTTTATGGGCCTAGAACTGAGATTTAGAGTATTGGCCCTTTTGGGCCATATTGGGCCACTTGAACTACTTATTTTGGGACTAAGGATTTGTTAGGTTTGTGAAAAGGCCCATTAGAAGAATTGGGCCTAATTTTGAAAATTGGGTCATTAGTGGGCTTGGGAAAGACATGATGGAATTAGGCCTTGGATATGGCCTAAAATTAGACCAAGGGGTAGAATGGTCATTTTACCCTAAGAAGTATTATGGATTTTGATTAAGTATTGTTATGTTAATGATAATCGGGGAGTCATCGGAGCAACCGTTAGAGATTCCTTCCAGTGATTTTTGACATTCACCTTTACGAGGTGAGTTACCTTCCAGTAGAAGTGGGTCGAAGGCACCAAGGTCGACCCACTAGTAAGAGTTGTAGTAGGGATAATTGTCTTTGTGATAATTATCTGGTATATAGTTATCTGTTATGATTATGTGCTAGTATGTTAGATGTTATGTGATATGTGATAGGAGGGGTAGGAGAGACCCAAGTATCGGTCCATAGGGCCGAAGGGGTATGCTAGCACCCATATAAGTTAGGCAGTACATGTCTTGTATGTTTATGCACTAGGATGCTATGTGGTAGAATAGGGGGTGAAATAGTCCCCATTATCGGTCGACAAACCGAAGGGGTAGGCCAACACCCAGATATGTTAGGAAAGGTACTGATCGACTAGACCGAAGGGGTATGCCAGCACCCGGATATGCTAGACAAGGTACCGACCGACAAGAACGGAGGGGTAGGCCAGCACCCGGATATGCTAGGCAAAGTATCGGTCGACAAGACCGAATGGGTAGTTAGTACACAGTTATGTTATGCAGTATGTGTTATGCATGGTATGTGGTATGATGAGGGAACTCACTAAGCTTTGTGCTTACAATTTTCAGTTTTGTTTTCAGGTAGGGTGTCAATTTATGACACGACACGACAAAAATACACGAAACGAAACGAAATCGGGACGAAATCAAAATTCAAATTCGTGTTCGTGTCGTTTTCGTGTCAAGATTAAAAAACACGATGTCGTGTCGTGTCGTGTTCGTGTTCATAAATCGACACGGAATTGACACGATTAAGCATGTGGTTGTCGTGTTTTTCGTGTTTGTCGTTTTTGTCGTGTTATATATCTGTAAGTATGAACGAAATACACTAATAGTTATGTAATATTATATTTGTCGTGTCGTGTCGTGTTGTTGTGTTTTAATTGGTTCGTTTTCGTGTTAATGAAAAAAAACACGACATCGTGTCGTGTCGTGTTCGTGTTATACAAAACTTTGTCGTGTCGTGTCGTGTCAAACAAAAACACGGCACGATTGCCCGATTTGACAGCCCTATTTTCAGGTACCTTTTCATCGAAGGGGAAGGAGTCGGCACGGTAGCAGCGCATCACACACACACAGAGGATTTCCACATTATGAGAGTCTTGAGATTGTACTCTGACATTATTACTATTTCATGAGATGTTTTTGAGACGTGTGATTATGGTTTTATGATATTATGTAACACGATGATGTTTTCTTATAAATGTATTTTCTAAATCGTTATATATCAATATGAAATATTTGGACTTGAAAATTAGGACGTTGCAAATGAAGGTTCCAAATAGTATTCACAAGCATTGCTTGTCTTTACCAAAAAGCAAAATCGTGAAGTTTTTATGTTTCCAACAATTGATGAAGCCAGGATGGAGTTCCTTAAGTTACCTATGAAAGAATGATTTGTCGTTGACATAATGTGTTATTTTTATGTTTGACATCATACGTTATCGTTTTATATGTTATCCTTCAACGTTATGTAATCGACATTTTATAATATGTTTTATTGTCTATCGTTATATAACCGATATTTTATATTATGTGTTATTGTTTGATATTTTATATTAGTATTATGTAGGATGGATAGAGATGACTATAATTCATCTGAAAATAATGAATAATATTGGGTGGAAGAGAATATAGAATTCAAAATGTTATGTAGATTAGCTTTGAAAGGTATAATGCTAGCTCGTAAAGTACGTAAGCCATGTCAGACTTCCGACTGCACATGGAACATGTTTATTAATGAAGTATTAAATTGTTATCCTAGACGGTGTTATGAGATGTTTAGACTGCATGTACCAATTTTTAGATAGTTATGCACAGATCTTGCTGCAAATTACAGACCAAAAACAAACACGACATATGTCTATTGAGGAGTTAGTAGGAATGTTCCTGATGGTTTTGGCTCATGGATGTACCAATCGACTAAATAATCCTCAATTATCCCATGTTCAAGTTATTATAATGATGAAGTTTCCAAATATATATTTATCAATCCTCGATATTATCCAATGTTCAGATACTTTGATGGTAATCGAACTTTACTAAATGATTTATTTATGATATTGTTTTGTATCTGTAGGATTGCATTAGCGTTATAGATGAGATACATGTTAGGGCATCAGTTCGATAACACGAGGAAGCGAAGTACATTGGCAAAAGGGATATGCTACACAAAATATGATGGTTGTTTGTGATTTTAACATGTGTTTTACATTTGTGTGGGCCAGATGGAAGGGGCTGCACATGACACAAGAGTTTTCAATGAGGCCTTACAAAGATTGGAGCTTCATTTCCTATATCCAACGGGTGGTTAGTATTATTATTTAGTAACACAAGTTTTATGTTTTTAATACTTGTTTGAAACGAATAACAAATGTTTGTTTTATTTACAGATAAATATTATATTGTCGATGTTGGATGAAACATTTAATATAACACAACAAAAATTCATACAATCACACACAAGATGCTACTAGTAGCGAATGTCACGAAGAAGGTCCAAATATACGTCATACGAGTAATGATGATTCATATATGACAACGATACGAGATATTATTACATAAGAAATAATGGAATCACAACGATGGATATTATATGACATTACCTATGATATTTTTTTATAAATTATTTACAATTTGTTGTCTACTTTTGTAAGAACATAATCTTAATATTATCATGGTCTAATCAAAAAATTATTAATTTTTTGGAATTTGTTTTTTTTTATGTTGTATATTTTGTAAAAAAAATGTTTATATTTTTGAGTAAAAAATTGTTGAGATTTTTGTCCACACAAAAAAAAAATCCATTTTTTTTTTAACTTCTTTTGAGAAAAACCCCAATAAAGATTTTTTTCCCCAAAATCACTTTTAAGATTAAAAAGCACATCCAAACACCCTCTTAACAATGTTAATGGTTGTGCACCACAAAAACAAAATGAGGGTGTAAATTGGTAATTAAACTATTTGCAGGGGGTATTCTAATCATATATTATAACCATTGGGCATATCAAGCCTTATCTTTAAACTTAAGGGTGTGAAATCTCATAATTTGGATTGGCTTGCTTTTAACTTTAACGTGTACCATGCTCCTACGCATATCCAATTGGCACATCCAATTGAATGATCCCGAACAAATGTCATGTACTCGAATAATAAACTCGGATTTCAAATACATCTCTTGTAGAAGAAAGTAACACCAACACCGTATGATGGTTGTGATTCAAGTTCAGCTTCGACCACACCCATCCAGCTTCAACCTCAATGGCAATGGCTTTTCTCTACACCCTTCTGTTTACAATAATATCCAGAAATCAAAGAAGCTGTCTCTGCAACTAAGAGCGGCCTCTTCAAGAACACAGGTACACATTTCTTGCTTTGAACCCTCAGTCCCGTTTGTATAAATATAATGCACACAAGGTGTTTGATATTTGTCTTAGCCGAACCATGGGTCTAAAATTTTCTTCCTTTTTAGAGGATAATGGAGAGCATTTCAGTAGGTGGGGAAGTTGGTGGAGCTGGTGGGGCATACTCGTATGATGCTTTGAAGAGATTGGATAATTTGTGGTCTACTATCTGCTCTGCTGAAACAGGTCGATAGTTAATTTCAATATCATCATCAATTCAATGTAATGTTTTCCCACAATTTGGCAAAATTTAATATGAATTTTACATGTCAATTGCATTGCATTGCAGCAGCTATTCAAGAACCCAAAAAAATTGTGACAAACACCCTTGGTTTGTTTGATAATGACACGAAGGAAGTGGATAAATTTGATGTGTTGGTTTGTGGAGGTACTTTAGGGATCTTCATTGCCACTGCATTAAGTCTGAAAGGCCTCCGTGTAGGAGTTGTGGAAAGGAACTTACTAAAAGGGGTATGTGTGTACTATGTACTTTCTGATGTGCTATTTTTTAAAATTTTAAGTGAATTAATGTATTGACATTTTGGTTGGATTAATATCAGAGGGAACAAGAGTGGAATATATCAAAGAAAGAGCTCCTGGAACTTGTTGAAGTTGGCATCTTAACAGAAGATGACATTGAAGAGGCCACAACTTCAGTTTTTAATCCCGTAAAATAACATAATACAATAGCATCCAACTTTCAGTTAACCAAATTTTAATTGGTTTATTTTATTTTAAACTCAAAAGATGGTTGTTATTTCTAATTTGCATTGCAGAACAGATGTGGATTTGAGAGGAAGGGGGAGATATGGGTTGAAAACATTCTTAATCTTGGTGTTTCGTAAGTGTTTCTATAGAATATAATAAATAATGATGAATGATTAATTAATTAATTCATGATTTAGTGGTTTATATATATTGTAGGCCTTTAAAACTTATAGATATTATGAGGAAGCGATTTGATTCACTTGGTGGAGTAGTCTTAGAGGGCTGCAGTGTGTCCAGCATAAATGTTTATCAAGATACAGCAGTAAGATCTTTAGTTTAATGCCAATAACATATTAGCTATTTGCTTAAATAAATAGCTTTGGTTAATGAATATTGATAACCGACTCTGTTTTGAAGGTATTGGAACTAACAGAGGGAAAGATTTTGTCAGCTAGTCTCATAATTGATGCAATGGGAAATTTTTCACCTGTGCTAAAACAGGTTATGACATTGACAAAACTAAAACAATTCTTTTTCTTCCGATTATAATCAAAGTGTAAGAAGCTGATTTTAGTAGAAGCATAATAAATAATTAAATATATAAATAAACAACAGATCAGAGGTGGCAGGAAGCCGGATGGTGTTTGCCTTGTTGTTGGTTCTTGTTGTCGTGGTTTCAAGGAAAATTCTAGAAGCGATGTCATTTATAGTAGTGCAGAAGCAAAGCCAGTTGGAAACTCTCAAGCACAATACTTTTGGGAGGTAATTTCCACTAATTATATCATTTATCATTTATTATTTATATTGTATTTAATTAATGTCAACAACAGGCATTCCCTGCTGGTTCTGGACCGTTGGATCGAACTACTTACATGTTCACTTACATTGATCCACAACCTACTAGCCCTAGACTTGAAGATTTACTAGAAGATTATTGGGATTTAATGCCCAAGTATCAGGTAAACTTTTATTAATTAAAAAAAAAAAAAAAAATACATGTCGCATGATTTGATGCTGATAATATATACTGATTGATACCCAAGATTTTGATCTTCTTCCACTTCCACCCAGGAAGTCTCGTTGGATGATCTAGAGATTCTGAGGGTTATATATGGAATTTTCCCAACTTATCGCGACAGGTAAGTGAAAAAAATGCAATCTGATAAAATGTTTTTCTTTTTTTCTTTTCCCATTTATATAAAAATCTAATTTTTCTCATTTTAATTCATTGTGGAGAAATGAATCTACAGTCCATTGCCAGCAGCTTTCAATCGCGTTCTACAGTTTGGTGATGCAAGTGGAATACAGTCTCCAGTTTCTTTTGGTGGTTTCGGGAGTTTGACTAGACACCTTGGAAGAATATCAAATGGTAACTAAAAAGTCAAAAGTCAAAAGTCAAAGTCAAACTAGCCTCCATGATTAACAATGTGTTGTTCATCTTTTTTTTTTTTTTGTCAGGAATACATGAAGCTATCAGTTCCAATCTCCTGGATTCTGACAATCTATCGTTATTAAACCCATACATGGTCTTACCATTTCCCAGCTACATTATAAACCCTAATTAAATTAATATTACTGTTTTAGTTGTTTTAGTTTATTATAATAAAATAAATATATATTTTTTCAGCCAAACTTAAGTGCATCTTGGTTATTCCAAAGAGCCATGTCAGCAAGAAAACAAGCTGGGGTCCCACCAGATTTCATCAACGACCTTCTCCATGCCAATTTCATCAGCATGCAGGTATGAACCTTTTCTAGCTTTTTAACTCACCATATTAACCATGGTTAATTATTCATAGCATTTCCTCAGAGACTAGGGGAACCAGTGTTAAGACCATTTCTTCAAGATGTTATACAATTTGGTCCTCTCGTGAAGACACTAGGCTTAGTTATGCTAACTAAACCTCAAATCCTTCCTTCCATATTTAAACAGGTAAATAAAAAAGTAATTATATATATATATTTATATTCACTAAAAGAACATCAGATTTATAAACTAACTTAACCATGGTTTGGTTTAACAGGTTGGGCTACCTGTACTCATAGACTGGCTAGGACATTTTTCACTTTTGGGTTCTTATACATTTCTTTCCATATACATTGACCCATTATTAAGGTATTACATTTAATGTAATTATAATTTACTAATTATTATATAATATGTGTTTTAGATTGTAAGATGATTATACCAAATTTTTAACTTTCTGATAGGCCTGTGATTGATACGTTTTCAACTGAGATGAAGTACAAATGGAATAGGAAACTTGAGGCATGGAAATATGGAGCTGGTTTAGACTACAAATTTGAAAGTGAAGAAGCATCCAAGAGTACATAGAACCAAAGGCAATAGCATCAAATTTGTGGTATATTTCAAGTGTAAAATATGAGTTAATATATTAATAAATGCTTTTCTAGCATAGTGTAAACATATGATACAAGTATACAACAAGATTTGACTAAATTATTTATTCATTTATCTTATTTACAAAAATGATCATAGGCATGTATAACAAAGTAGAAGAAATCCACTGACTTTTGACTTATTAGATAGATCTTTTGGCACCCAACATTCTTGAAAGCTCTTTAATCAGAGGCTTCTCTTTAATGTCTTCCTTTTTCTCCATATGCCATTCTTTAGTTACTCCTTCTGCCTGAAATTTTAGTAAACTACATTAAACTGATTCGAAATCTTAGCTAAAAATTATTTGATATTTTAACATACCCAAGTTCTTAAAGGGCCCATTTGTTCCTTGATTGATTCGAATTTTGGTTGAATGATATCTTTTCCTTTGGTTCGAATATCATCAGTCTGAAAAACACATGAAAAGTTCCTTGAAAATGTCAACAATGTAATCTTCATAGATAATCACAATTTCAAAGATCAAGAAACTGCAAAAATATCACTTACTGTATGTAGCTCAAGCTGTGAAACTACAAGTCCAATAGTCAATGTGGCTCCACCAAAGATAATAACAGTGGCAGCAGCAAATGCTTTTGCAACTAGGGTTCAAAAAAGATAAGGGAAAATTAAGCATGTTAATCTCCATAATGGCATAAACCATATCATGTTCTTCAATCAATTTAATAACAAATACTACAAATAGAAAATCTCAGTTTCAGAACTTGTAATGATTATGCATCAGTATGAAGTCATCTAGTGAGTGAATGAGCGAGTGAAAGATGAACAAGTTATGAAAACATGAAACGAAACCTACTTTGTGATAATCCAACAGCTGCAGCCTTCAACTTCTCAGGATTAATTGGGGTGTACTTGTCATTACGCAGTTCATTTGCGGTTGAAGGAGAAATTGAATGCTCTGTGTTAGGAAACTGCCATCTGCAAGTAAGATAAAAACCTCAGAGATCGATTTGAAATCTGAAAACCATGGTTCCTAAAACAACAAGGCTTATCGGTATTACTGAAACGCAAAGTTAATTATCTTCTTTAATCAGATTTCATAATGTTCTTGCATTCCAGAAGCAAAACCATATGATTTAGAGCTTGAGAAAATAAATTGAATGCTTCATTAAGCTCGAAATTACATACGTTTGTCCAAAAATCGAGCGAGTTATATATAAGGCTAACAGAGTACGCAAAACTGAAGTACCTTTTGGGTCCAAAAGTGACTTGGGGAAGGGATACGTAAGCCCTAAGAGGGTTTATAGCATCACGCGATACAGAAGAGACGCCGTTGCTTTCATCGGAGTTGAGAAGCCACTTGGATCCAGTTGACAGAGTCGAATCGGAAGGTGGTCGGAAAATCCTTGACGGTAAATTATGCTTCAAAATCTCCGGAAGGATATCGCTTTGGTTGTCTGGGACTTCATGAATTGTGGGCGCCGGAGGATGATTAGTGGCGGAAGTGGTGGACTTATTGGTTTTTTCAACGAGTCGACCGACGGCGTGCTTGGATTCTTGTAAGAAGTAAGCGCCTTCTTTGCCTGCCGCCAATCTTCCGACGATAAAACTCATCACAAAACCTCTGAACTGAGATGGAATTTGGTTGATTTGTGTTTTGGAAATGGCAGATGAATTTGTATGAGGTGATTTATATAGGGTGAAAAGATATGGTGGTGTTTGGTTATGGGAGAAAGTCTGCTACCCCATTTTTGTTTTTCTTAAAATAAAATTGTAATCTAAAAATGCATTTTGACAACCGAAGTAGTGTTATATTTATTGATTGATAAATTGATAATAATAAATTATTTTTTTTAACATTATATTTTCATTTGTTATCGTTTTACTATGAAGTTGTTTATTTAATAAAAGTTATAAGAGTCTAAATAATATTAGTTGAGATTATAAGGTTTACTTAATATATATATATATATATATATATATATATATATATATATATATATTATATATATATATATATATATTAGAGTTCATGCGAAAATGCAAATAATTTGCGAAAACGCGAAAACAAGAAAAACCAATGATATTGTGTCACCTCAACATTATATTTTGGAAAATAATTCATCCAAACTTTGAAATATATGATGATAATCGATGATAGATGATAAATTGTTTCATATTAGCAAAGTATGATTTTTAACATTTTTATTAAGAAAACATGAATTTAAAAATGATTAAGAACGTAAAAAAATATAATTATCAAAACCGTCTTTAAATTTATATTACCATAGCACCGTCAAATGTAAACTTACTATATTTAATTTATTGCTAATAAATTTATTTTTTTATAGTACATGTGCTTGATTTTCACAAGATAAAATCTGTTTTCGCGTTTTCGCAAGATATTTATATTTTCGCATGAACCTACTTCTATATATATATATATATATATATATATAAAAATGGTGAAATGACATTTAATTAGTTATAGGGTGTTAAATGTCATAAAGACAAACATAAATGTAGAAAATAATGTCTACATGGATCATTTTATACATTTAATAACCTAAGGATGTGTTTTATAATCGATGAAAGTGGAAATTACTAATATAGCCTAAAAACCTAATTACATATTAAAAAAAACATCAACCAAAATTCGTTCATGAAATAATAGATTGGTTACTACGGTCAATGGTAAAAAACTAATATTTTTTGGCAATGGGCTACTGTTTTCCTGTCCATCTACTCTTTCGCGACACATTGGCACATAATATTTAATGTATAATTTTTCAGAATAGGTTATTTTGACTATTGTTTTCTTGGTTTTACATAATTTTTTCTCTCAATTGAGCACCTGAACAACGATGTACGTTCATTTTTTATCAAAATTTTACCGTATTATTGATTAGAAGTAGTTTTTGTATATGAGAATACAAGTGCACAATGCACAGATTGTGCAATGTGGACTTGTACAATGTAGGTTTCGTATGAAACCTACAGTTTTACTTTATTTTTTCATTTTTTTTTATTTGTTGTAACCTCATAAGCCATCATATATATGTTATGATTTAATGATCTTTTTTTTTCAAAAAACTTGAAAAAAAAAATAAATAAACCATAGGTTTTTTTTGGTGGCTAAGAGGAAACCGTAGGTTTTTTGTGTTTCCAAAAAACCTACGGTTTTACAAGTTCAAAATGATATTTTTTATACTTATCACAAAACAGTAAACCATTTGGCGAAACAGTAGCCCAGTATAACTACATATGGTTTCGTGGGCTATTTTGGGATAATTCCTAATTTTTGGCTAAAATGGTTAATTACTTTCTTAATTAGGCTATATTAGTAATTGCCCCTTGATGAAAGTACTAAAAATAATGAAAATTGGATTTTGGTTAATTTTAAGCAAGTGTCCAAAGTGTAGATCTAAAATGAAACATTGGTTGTTTTTAATAAATTTTTGCAGTTTTGGTCCCTATTACGTTTTCAACCCATTTTTGCACACTATAATCCTAGCAGAAGTAGAAAAGGAGAAAGAGGAGAATATGCATGAGCATACTATAAACCTAACTTTCATCTCATAAAAATAATTCCTAGCAATACAGACACGACATGAAATAGCATTGTACGACAATATTAGCGTCTTACTCTCATTTCTTTTAAAATAAACAATAATAAAGGTACATAACTATCTAGATACAAAACACACACATAAAATGAAACTATAATAAAATTCCACACAAACATCAACACACACATAACATGAAATAACATCGTACTTTCATTTCTTTGAAATCTTAGCATCATACTTTCGTTTCTTTGAAATAGACAAAACAATTAAAATATATTAATATACCCACACACAAATGTGTTGCTTTCACTGTGCGCCTTTATGTCATTTTAGATTCGTCGTAAACCAATACATGGTTGACTGGGATCAAACGATTAATTGGTTTAGTGGAGATTAATTGGGGATCCTAAATTAATAATAAAACTATTTTAAAACTTAACACATCCTAAGAAAATTAGTAATTGAAAATTTAAAATTTTGAAATTTTAAAATATTTCTTATCATATTTGAAAATTTGAACATTTAAAATTTTAAAATTCTGAAATTTTATAAATTTTGGTGTAAAGGAGCGCCTAGCCCGCGTTTGGCCAATATTGACCATATTCTGCCAAACACCCCTAATCGTAATTAGTTGCAGACCGCCTAGCGCCTAAGCCAATATTTACAACACTGATATATATATATATATATATATATATATATATATATATATATATATATATATATATATATATATATATATAGAGAGAGAGAGAGAGAGAGAGAAAGAGAGAGATAGAGAGAGAGGTTGGTTCAAATGTTTCTAGCAACTATTGTGTTCCTAAATGCACTGATCACAATTTAGCAAATAGTTAAATAATTAATTAAATCAAAAAGTGTATTTATGGTTTTTTGCACTTGCAATAAGGAAACAAAATAAATATATGTTGACCTAATATTTCTTCTTTATAACCATCACAACTACTCAATTATATTCCATGCGTGCAGCTGTCGATGATGTACCTCGGACACGATGTGTACTCAAAACCCTAGGCGAGTGCTCTGATCATGATTTTGTTGATATCGCTAGGTCGCGGCTGGCGAAGATCGAAGAAAGCTTGGCGAATCAACTTGAAGAGGTCGCTCTGTCCGATAAATCTTCCTGAAGCCTTTGGGAAGCTTCGTATGTTGGTTTCTTTTAAAATATCCTCGAATCAACTTTAGGTTAGTCTAATAATTTCATCACCATATCATATTATTATGATTTATTGATTTATCAACTTCAATCATCTACAAAAAGAATTTCAACCCCAAAACAAGCATTGTATAGGAGAAACGGAAATTAGGGCTTGATTCTGGATATTCATGTTGTTGTTTATGATGCCGTCCTAGGGATATCAAACTATTACTATCTAATTCTGTTAAGAAAGACTTCATCTTTACTGCTGTTTTGTATTTAATATGTTCATTTTTCATTAGAAAACACATACAGAAGCTATGATTAGGTTAGCTTGTCGACTGTGCTCTCATTCTTCTTTAATTTTAAATATCCATCATTCAAGTTGATTTTGTAATTTAGAATTTGACATAAATAATGATGGTGTGACATCTCTAATTTTTCACGGCCACAACAGACTGATTTTGTTTATGTTTTTATATAAAATCAAAGTAATATTTCAAAGGAAAGTAATACGGAATATGTTCCCAAAACAAAATATGATACACATTTATCAAAACATTTCTTAAAGAAATATATTTTCATTACGTTACAAGGTCTGGGATGTCATCGTCAATACAAATCAAAAGCATAAACAAAACATCATGAGCCACAAAACAAAATTTAGCCTCAAAACATTATAGGCCTGACAACATTCTATTCATTTTCTATAAAACCATAATCTCTCGTCAAATCATCCAACTATGCTTTTGCCACTACCTGTAATACAAGAAACTGAGTGGGTCAGGTTGGGTAGTCTGGTGAGCATATAGGGTTTTCAACCAAAAATAATAACTTTATTATTTATTTTCATCAAATCATTAACCCGATTACTCGTTCCCGTTATCCCCACTTTACGTCCCTAAAGCATCTATTCTAAGGGACCTAGCCTAAGGATTTTTCTTCGGGGTGACAACACTGCTTAGGGGGTTCCTTGGCAATACATGTCAAATAAGGCAACCATGTGGGGATGGAGTACATCCGGTGAACACTTAGTTCAAAAACACCTACATGTTGCGAGCCTACTAGCGTTCCAATTGACTGCCTAGAATAGTCAGTGGTCGTCATCTATACTCCGCTAGATGACTAGATCATCGTAAACATCGAGGCCTCTCATCATTTTATCACACATCAACTATTTCTTCTACATGTGTTCTACCCAACATATTTGTAAATATAGGAAAACATATATAGTATAGATCTGAAAATTTTAAATCTTTTCATCTGTCATAGATCACAAAGTATAAAATACATATACAATTTTAGATCTGAAAAGTGTAGATCTGAGATGAGAAAGTGTAGATCTGAAGGAAAAAGCTTTAGATCTGAAAGAAAAGTTTAGATCTAAAAGATAAAGTTCAGATCTGAAAAGAAAGAAGTATAGATCTTTCATTCAACAAACATCTTAAGTAAACAGATACCATATATATACACATAGCACGTAATTTATATAAAATACTTCATATCTATGTGTAAGATGAAAGTGCCTATATACTCATATGATAAGGTGGTGATTTGGACAACATTTCGTTCCTTAAAATGATTTTCTTTGTTGAAATCGAGAGGTTTGCTTGAAAACCGGGCCTTGCGCGGGCAGAGTTTCAAACCGAAAAACTCTTTTTCTCGGAGCCTTCGGGCGTTTTGGAGCTTTCTTCTAATGCCAGGGAGGTTTCCTAAGCTTCGGGTTGGATTAGGATGGCTAGAGAGATAGTAGAGTAAAAAAAAGATAGCTTAAAAGTGCGAGAAATCTGGCTGCCTCGCACCCTCTTTTATAGGGCCGATGCCTCACAGTACGCGTGGCGTACCTTGGATCTACGCGGAGCATAGTAACACGCATCGGATCTTCGGTGGAGCATCGTAGCTTATTTCAGACCGTATGAGAAGTCAAACCACGTAGCGTACTCCTCCCCGTATGTGGGGTGTACTTCGGTACGCAGAGCGTCCGAAGGTACGCTGGGCGTACCCCTCGTATTAGCTCGCAATTTCTCGTCTCGACTTCTAAAATTCATAACCTTCGCATACGAGCTCCGTTTCC